GAGACAGAGAAAGAGAGAGAGAGAGAGAGAGGGTGAGGCAAAGAGGAGAGTGGAAAGAGGGAGGGAGAGGACCAATAGAAAGACTGAGAGAGGGAGACAGTGAGGGAAGATCGAGGCCTGAGCTTTCACTTTATGCTAGGTCTGTGCCTCTGTGGTCTCCCTGAGGGCAGTGGGACACATCCACATCATGCCAGCGGATGAGCGGTACCCTCCGGCAGAGCCCCACGCACAGGCAGCCCTGGGGATGGGGTGCAGAACAGGCATCTCCCCACCTTTTCCGAGGAAACGCGACTTGTCGTTGTCTCGTAGCTCCAGGGCTTCGTAGATACCAGTGGACGCACCGCTGGGAACCGCTGCTCGAAACATGCCTGGGAAACAGCAAAACACAGGTGTGAGGGGAACAGAGGGTGAAAAGGAGGGAAAACCCTTATGCACCTGCTTCCGTGAGAAAGAATGTGGCAACCTCTTATGCCAACAGGTGGCCCAACTGGCTGGCTGCCCTTGGCTGATCTGCTCAGAGGTGGACCACCTCTCAGAGGTGGAGCACCAGGGTGGCAGAAATAAATGTACCCAGGGCTTCCAGACTGAGAAACCTGGGTCTCAGGTACCCAGAGGTCCACACTGATCCCAGAACTACGGATGATGGGTGGAAGTCTGGTTCCTCAGCCCTCCTCCTGCTTCCAGTGCCCACGGCCATCAGTGGCTTCCTCCACCTCAGATGGGCTGGATTTCTGCCTCGGTAAAGAAGGAAGAGACTGGTTGGATGCCTGCTCTGGCCCCTCACCCCTCAGCCCACCTAGCGTTGGGCCCAGCACAGATGCAGCTCTTCCAGTTGAGACACATGTGCATGTACATTCCTGCACAGAGATCTCAGCGACAAACCTTCCCCTGCCTCATGAGCATGGCCATGGATGTGTTTCCAAACTTGTACTGTGTCCCAGGACTAGAATCATAGCTGCAGGGCATTGCAGGGATGTGACAAGAAGGTAAATATATTTATGTTAACGAAACTTTCCATCCCTGCTACAAGCAGGCACGTGGCTCAAGTCACATACACAGCAGCCAGCTATCTCGTCATGATTTGCCCAGCATGTGTGTGGAGTTGCTGAGTACACACACAAGCAGAGCCACAAGCAGAGTTTCGGTCTCTGCCTGTTCCCCTGGCTCGCTGCTGGCTGGAGGTTCACCGGAGAAGACCCCCTGTGCCAGTACCAGCTCCGCCGGGGTGGGCAGGACTTCCCCTCCATCTCTGGTCCTCACCCGCGTACCTTTGTGTGTGTACAGGTCCACCTCAACAGTGGGGTTCCCACGGGAGTCCAGGATCTCGCGGGCATGGATCCTCTCGACTGCCATGGTGAGTCTGTGGACAGGAGAGGACATGTTCAGCTCTGAGGGGCCCCAGAATGCAGTGCTTACCCTTCTAATATCTAGACAAGACACTGGCAGGGAGAAGGGAGTTCAAGGAAGAGCTACCTCAGGAGCTGGAGCTAAAGAAAATTTAGAAATTGCCATTAAAACCCAGATTGTGGGAATCTACCCTCATTTTGTCCAGGAACTGGTTGTCTTTTTGAATTTATTCTGTCCCTTTGCTGCAGATGACAAACTGGGAGCTCTCTCTCTCTCTCCCTCTCCCTCTGCGCCACGGCTGAGCACTGCCCTATCTCAGGGCTCCTGATGCAAGCCCGGGTGGCCGAGATGGGGGAGTGCCACAGCATCCACGGGAGGCAGAGAGGGGAGGGACCAGCTGGCGCAGCCGGACGGTGCCCCCAGTCCCAGTGTCAAGGACGAGGCACCAGCTCCTGGCGTCCCCCTTTCCCCTTGCCGGGAGGCAAGGACAGTCCCTGCCAGGGCCAGGCAGCGAGCGGCCGCTGTGTCCGTGCGCGGCGGGCAGGGAGCCAACCCAGCG